GACAGAGGTAAGACATTTCTTGTAAGTGGTTACCAGGTTTGCATACATCTCAAGAGGGATTTTGGTCCACTCTTCTTTACAGATCTTCTCTAAATCCTTAAGATTTCTTGGCTGTTGCCACTCAAAGTTTCAGCTCCTTCCATAAATTTTCTATAGCATTAAGGTCTGGAGACTGGCTAGGCCACTCCATGACCTTAATGTGCTTATTCTTGAGCCTCTTCTTTGTTTCCTTGGCAGTATGTTTTGGGTCATTATCATGCTGGAAGACCCATCCACGGCCCATCTTCTGTGTTCTGGCTGAGGGAAGAAGGTTCTCATCCAAGATTTTACAAGATATGGCCTCATCCATTGGCACCTCAATGCGGCAAAGTTGTCCTGTACCTTTAGCAGAGAAACAGCCCCAAAGCATAATGTTTTCACCTCTGTGCTTGACTGTAGGGATTGTGTTCTTAGGGTCATAATCAGCATTTTTCTTCCTGCAAACATGGCAAGTCAAATTAATGCCAAAGAGCTCAATTTTGGTCTCATCTGACCACAGCACTTTCTCCCAATCCTTCTCTGAATCATTTAGATGTTCATTGGCAAACTTCAGACTAGCCTGTACATGTGCCTTCTTGAGGAGGGGGACCTTGCAGGCGCTGCAGGATTTTAACTCATGGCAGCGTATTGTGTTACAAATGGTTGGGAATGTGGCCCCAACTGCCTTGAGATCATTCACAAACTCCTCCCATGTAGTTCTGGGCTCATCCCTCACTTTTCTCATGATCATCCTTACCCCATGAGGCGAAATCTTGCATGGAGCTCCAGACCAGGATAATCACTCCAACAATTGTCTCCTTCTCACCAAGCTTCTTGCTGATGGATAGCCCATTCCAGCCTTGTGCAGGTCTACAATCTTGTCCCTGACTTCCTTTGACAGCTCTTGCCCGTGGTGGTGAGGTTTGAATGGAAGAAAGATTCTGTGGACAAGTGTTTTTTATACACATAATGAGTTGTCATTAGGAGCACCTTCTTAAATTGACAGGACTAATCTGTGTACCACATGAGCAGATAGCCAGTCTGTGGTGGCCAGAATTATTGTTGGTTTTAAGGGAATCAAATACTTATTTTACTCACTGACCTGTAACTCAATTTATAACATTTGTATCGTGTTTTTTTCTGGATTTTTGGTTGATATTCTGTCTCAATCATTTAAAATACACCCTATGATAAAATATATAGACCCTTCATTGCATTGTAAGTGGGCAAACTTAGAAAATATGCAGGGGATCAAATAATTATTTTTCCCACTGAAGTTATTCTCTTTGCAGCAGCTTGTGCATCTTTAGCTCAACATTGCTAGGACAAGGAACACTATGATAGGCCACTGCTGCAGATTTAAGAAAACTACATTAAAATTTAGTGAGAAACTGAATTCAAAGATAAACCAACAAAATATATTGCTGTAAGGATTCATCCATCATGCTTTATACCGCTAATGTGCATAATTTTGTTTTGTTATATTGTAATACAAGATGTAATCATTTAGTGCTTTTACTGTGATGTGCATTAAAAATGTATTTCTTTTCTGCAGTACCGACGCACAGTGGCTCTGAACTGAGGAGTTTGAGAAATGCTGCAGCCATTGCAGCCCTACAAGATGAGGCCCAGCTCACTCTCAACAGCTACATACATACTAGGTAGATACATCACTTAACTTTACTAAATGAAAATTATTCTTTACTTGGTTGTCTGCCATGGTCTCTGCAACAACAGCTCTTGTGAACAGTAACAAAAATATCTGCAACATTTATATTCCACTTTCTTGAACCCATCAATGTGCTGTATATGCTAAAAAATCTTATAGGAAAAAGCGGTACTAATGACCAGATAAGTAGCAGGACTTTAAAAATTCCCAGAAATTTTAAAAATATATTTTTTTATAATCCAAAAAAAACCAAAAATGACACAAAGCATATATTAAAAAAATCATATTATAATCAAAGAAAAATAAACCATAAAGAGTATACAAAGAACTCATGCACACTGGGAGTTTATCCCAATGCACGAGGCTCTGGTGTTTAGGAGTGGATGAAAGGTACAGGCACATCATCCAACTCCACTGCCAGTAGGCTGTTAAACTCTATCAGAGGCTGAAAGCTTCTGCAGCTGGATGGTACACAGAGTGGTCCAGGCATTTGTTCCTGAGCACATACTGCATTACCATAAGTACCACTCGGGTGCCCCATCCAGCCGCAGCCTCTCAGAATTTGACAGACTACCAGCAGTGGGGCTGGACGGTGTGCCTGTACTTTCCACCCGTACCTAACCTCTAGAGTTTCATACACTGGGATCTAAAGACCCAGGGTGCAAGAGGCCTAAAAGAGCACCAAATATAAATAACTAGTTAATGAAAAGTTGCGGTTGGTTATGAATTTTGCTATGTGGAAGGAGGGGGTGATGTTATTGTTGGGTATCTTCTTTTTTTATAAATACAATTTATAATATAATTTAAAAAATGTGGTTACTCTTCTTATCTTTTGTTTTTTGGGGTTATAAAAATTCACCTTAAGGGATTTGCAAAGGAATATTCTAATAGATTTTGACTACTCACTACTTTTCACTGACTAGTTTTCATTTTGGGCCTCCTCCTGACAGTTTTTGTCCCTACAATGGCTACAGAAGAGTTCAATTGTCAATGTGCAGGAAAACCTTATATGAGTCACTAGGTTATTAATAGGATTGAAAAAAATGGGATTATAATAGATCCTTGTTTTAAACAACTTTAGTCCATTTAAATATGTCCCATTAACATGTAATTTTTGCCAAGCTCTAGACATTAATGGGGTGTAACATTACAATGTGTTATATGAAAGAAAATGTGAACTACTTTATGCTTATCATCGGTTTGTCTAATGAGGCTGAGGTTATTGTTTGAATGTACCCTTTGTTTTTTTTTATTTCTTTTCTGTGAAAAACAAAACATTTCAATAAAAAAGCATCTGATTAAAACATTGACTTTTTACCAATTATTCTTTAAAGTTTAACCTGCTTGCATTTTGCCTTCTCTGGTTCTTCCTTCCACCCATCATCATAATGCTAATGAAACTTTCAAATAAACCTTTCTGTTTTCATTTCTGTGGTAATAATTTCATACTGCTTTTTTATTTTTGTTGCATATTTGCTTTTTGAAAATCCTTACCAGTTTTCACAGAGTTTTACCTCCCCAAAAAATAGATAGTCTTTCAATAATATCAACTATCTATTTATTTTTTTGCTGAAAATATTTAAAACCTGAACAAAAATAAAAAGCAAATATCAACTAGTTTTTGGTTTTTTTTTTTCCCCCACAGGTATCCAACCCAGCCCTGCCGCTTTGGAAAACTCCTACTGCTTCTACCAGCATTACGGTCTATCAGCCCATCAACAATAGAAGAAGTATTTTTCAAGAAAACAATAGGCAATGTACCAATCACAAGACTGCTCTCAGATATGTACAAATCCAGTGATATCTGAAGGAAAAAACTTCTCTCAAGCTTTAGACTTTGCATAATACTGTTTCAATCACAAATGTGATCCAAGAGTGATGAGACTTGAGAAGACAAACATTAAGGGGATCTTCTTTTATTAAAACAGCCATCATATTGATGTGCAGATTATCAAAATAAAATTTGCCACGTGGATCACTTAAAGTCTTTTTGGTCCTACAAGCCCAACAGAAAAGGATGAATGTTATCTGCAAGATTTCCTGTGATAATTCAGTGGCAATGTACAAAATCAACTCCTACATTTTCAACAAGTGTTTTTATCCTTTCTTTGTACTATAAAATATTTCAAATTTTTTTCCATTGCTGTAGTTTCAGAGATAGAAAAAAATCCATATAGAACAGTATGTGATCAGAATTGTTAGGACTGTGGACACTTTGGACTAGATTGCATAAAAAGCCAGGATGCATCTTTGGCTCCACCTGTGACCATGGATATTGACAAAACCACGCCATCATGCACATTTTCAGTGCTACAAATGGAATGAAGCACCAATTTCTACTTTGCAGCACACCATAATATATTTGATTGCAACAAGATTACATGAATAATTTGGGGTACTGAAAATATGGAACCACATCTGTGATGTGTTTACAACAACAAAGAGGTTATCCTTCACCACTATAGCAGTTCAGTGGTTAGACCGTCTTGTCGAATCACACCAACTCTAGTCTGCCGATAATACAAGTCACTATGGCTATGACCAACTGGAGTTTGAAATAGTTTCTTTCAAAAAAATTAAATCAACATTGCTTCTATACAGTATGTGTATCTATATATATATCTATATATATATACATACATACACACACTCACACACACTATATTGCCAAAAGTATTGGGACGTCTGCCTTTACAAGCACATGAACTTGAATGGCATCCCAGTCTTAGCCCATAGGGTTCAATATTGAGTTGATCCACCCTTTGCAGCTATAACAGCTTCAGGCCTGGCTCACAGACTCTGCTCTAATTCATCCCAAAGGTGTTCTATCCGGTAGATGTCAGGACTCTGTGCTGACCAGTCAAGTTCCTCCACCCCAAACTTCCTCATCCATGTCTTTATGGACCTTGATTTGTGCACTGGTGTGCAGTCATGTTGGAACAGGTAGGGGCCATCCCCAAACTGTTCCCACAAAGTTGGGCGCATGAATTGTCCACAATGTCTCGGTATGCTGACGCCTTAAGAGTTCCCTTCTCTGGAACTAAGAGGCCAAGCCCAATGCCTGAAAAAACAACCCCACGCCATAATCCCCCCTCCACCAAACTTTACACTTTGCACAATGCAGTCAGGCAAGTACTGTTCTCCTGGCAACCACCAAACCCAAACACATCCATCGGATTGCCAGACAGAAGCGTGTTTCGTCACTCCAGAGAACACGTCTCCACTGCTCTAGAGTCCAGTGGTCACATGCTTTAAACCACTGCATCCGACACTTTGCATTGCACTTGGTGATGTAAGACTTGGATGCAGCTGCTCGGCCATAGAAACCCATTCCATGACGCTCTCTATGCACTGTTGTGCTAATCTGAAGGCCACATGAAGTTTGGAGGTTTATAGCTATCGACTCTGCAGACAGTTGGCGATTTCTGCGCACTGTGCGCTTCAGCATGTGTTGACTCAGCTCTGTCATTTTACGTGGCCTACCACTTCGTGGCTGAGTTGCTGTTGTTCCCAGTTGCTTCCACTTTCAAGGATGGACTTATTGCACAGGTGGCAACCTATTATTGTACCACACTTGAATTCACTGATCTCCTGAGAGCAACCCATTCTTTCATAAATGTCTGTAGAAGCAGTCTCAATGCCTAGGTGCTTGATTTTATACACCTGTGGCCATGGAGGTGATTGGAACACCTGAATCCAATGATTTGGAGGGGTGTCCCAATACTTTTGGCAATATAGTGTATATAATGCAGTATTTTGGTTCATTTCCATGATACTGTGCAATTCAATAATAGAAGAAGGCCTTTTTTTTTCTACAGATCTAACAGATTATGTGCATCTGGTTCAATAATCAACTAAAAGACAATAAATGCACGATTAATCATTTTCTTTAGGTTTCCGGAAAAACCTCTTAATGCGAACATATTTCACTTATAATCCCAATGGGAGTCACTAAAACATGATATACAGTAAGACAATGTACTAACCACAACCACCATTGTCATAGTTCTACCTCTATTTTCCTGTTAAAAAAATTGTAAAGTGTGTCTAAGTACATCTGCAAAGTCCAATAGGCACTAGTGCTGTCCAATGCACTCTTACAGACCTGGTCAGATATACCCATTCTCCTTCTCTACATTACAAGTGTGCTTGAGAACATTTGTTATTAAATGTTCTCATGCACATTTGTAGTGCTAGGAGAGTATTAGGAGAGTGACGTTACTCTATGCCAGCACTAAGTATTTGATTGAATGGGCTGAAAGCACATTTCCACTATGGGAAAAATGTATTTTAAGTAAAAATCATCGTAATTCTTCAATTGAGCTTTAAGGTTATCAAAGCAGCTTTTGTGATTTGCAGGAACATCCTAGGTCTTCAAACATTTTGTAAGGAATGCAGGAAAGACAGAATGCGAGGAATTGAATATTTAAACCATATTTGTTACAGATTCTTGAACATTAAACATTCCACAATTAACAGACATATTACAGAACAGTACATTTTAGTGGCAGATTATGATGCACCAAACTCCAGGCGAACAGCTAAATACATGGTTTAAATACATACATACAGTATATTTGAGTGTTTTTATGCCAAAATATTTGTAATTTTATGCAGACTTTCTTGTAATTTTAACACTTTTGCTAGACTGCATAGAAAGGAAAGTGACCACTATTTTCTGACAGAATTTTGTAATTAATGGTGTTACCTGCTTGGTCACTTGAAAATAAATGAACATGATCCTATTGCTAAGTAAAGAACCTCAAACTGTCAGTATGATTTTTGCTGTGCAGTATTAATTGTGGGTAGATAATATATTTCAGACAGTTACACTAGCAGAATGCTAAATAATTAAATTAATATGTAACACCCTAAATTTAATTTTTTATTTTTGCCTGGTGTTCCACTTTAACTGAATTTATCCACATGCAAATAAAATGTCATTGGTCCGTAGAACAAATATGCACCAATTACTGACATACCCTAAGAATAGGGAAGCTCTACATTTAGTACAGTTTAATAGCAGTTTTTTTGTTCAATGTTTTCAGTGTATGATTAGGATCTAGCACTAAGGAAATCAGCACTTCAACTATTAGAGACAAGTAAAAATGTTCCTTGTACAGTGTCATCTAATTGTGAATCTAAAGTTGTTCTCATTTCTTTACAGAGAATAAAATATATTGAACTTGGGTTCTTTTGATTTTTTTTGTCCATATATATTTGTGTAACAAATAATATTCAGGATTTTTGTACACAAAAGTATTCATATATTCTGAACAAGGAGTAAAAGCAGTTTGAAAATGGTTAGCACTTTCGCCTGGCAGTACTAGGGTCGTTGGTTCGAATCCCAGCCACGGCACCACCTGCCTGGAGTTTGCATGTTCCCCCTGTGCCTGCGTGGGTTTCCTCCGGGTACTCCGGTTTCCTCCCACACTCCAAAGACATGCTGGTAGGTTAATTGGATCCTGTCTAAATTGTCCCTAGTATGTGTATGTATGAATGTGAGTTAGGGACCTTAGATTTTATGCCCCTTGAGGGTTAGGGACTGATGTGAATGTACAATATATATATATAAAGTGCTGCGTAAATTGACGGCACTATATAAGCACCTGAAATAAATAAATAAAACAAGTTCTCATTTATCTCGGTGGCTATATGCATTGTGTAGAAATTTGTCTTGAAAGTTTGCAACAAAGTTTTTTTTTCTCTCCCCTTTTGCTTTATTTTGCTACATAATTTTGGTGGCCTCCCAGCCTTATAATGTAAAAAAGCAGCAGATTTTTCAGGACTGTTAAGAAATAAACCGAAACAAATATAAGTGTACATTTAAAAAACTGTGAAAAAACAGTGATAAGCAATGGCAACACTTTTCAAAGCTTGATAAGTGCCTAGTAAGAGGTTTATAAATGGTGATTACTCAGGTGGCAAGTAAAATTCGGGGAATATCTCATCTCTTCATCGTGAATTCTTGGTAATAAGTACACACAAAGTAATAGGCATGTAATGGTGAAAGTTGGGCTTTATCACTGTGATAAATGTGGAGAAAAGCCTTCTAGATTTATGCACAAGTCAGGCTCGGTGATGACTTTTTTTGGCTGAAAATGGCCAGGATGTTACCCTTTGACACATTATCAAGCATAACAGCAGGATTGCTTGTGCTGTGAAATATCCAACAAGGAACTTTGCACCACATGGTTCTTTGCTTCCTTCTCCCTTTCTTCTTCCTTGATCCTCAGTGGGAATTAATTGGAATAAGACTGTTTTGGCAGGAAAGATGCATGACACATTCATTTCTAATTGTGACAATTTTTCTGCAAGGTTGTAACTGCCACAGTAAGTTCACTTAGGGCCCATTTTCACCAATGGACACGTTATGATATGTATATAACACACATGATGGTGTGCATTGTAACAAGCCCCGGTAGGTGGGGTGAAACATGTTAGGAGGAATGGCTGGAGCAGTGCTGGCTGAGACAACATTCATCTACATATTAATGCAATGGGTTGGTCAGCAGCGCCTTTTCTTCTCTTTGATAATACTCTTACACCTCTGAATGGTACATTGATGCCAGCTCCCTTCACTGAAACTGGCGGTGAGATCTCTGTCTCAGCTTAGAGTGGCACTGCAAGTTGTTATTTATTTGGGACGTCTGCCTTTACATGCACTTGAACTTCAATGGTATCCCAGTCTTAGTCCGCAGGGTTGGCCCACCCTTTGCAGCTACAACAGCTTCAACTCTTCTGGGAAGGCTGTCCACAAGGTTTAGGAGTGTGTCTATGGGAATGTTTGACCATTCTTCCAGAAGCGTATATGTGAAGTCAGGCACTGATGTTGGATGAGAAGGCCTGGCTCGCAGTCTCCGCTCTAATTCATTCTAAAGGTGTTCTATCGGGTTGAGGTCAGGACTCTGTGCAGCCCAGTCAAGTTCCTCCACCCCATACTCACTCATCCATGTCTTTATGGACCTTGCTTTGTGAACTGGTGCGCAGTCATATTGGAACAGGAAGGGGCCATCCCCAAACTGTTCCCACAAAGTTGGGAGCATGAAATTGTCCAAAATGTCTTGGTATGCTGATGCCTTAAGAGTTCCCTTCACTGGAACTAAGGAGCCAAGCCCAACCCTTGAAAAACAACCCCACACCATAATTCCCTCTCCACCAAACTTTACACTTGGTACAATGCAGTCAAACAAGTACTGTTCTCCTGGCAACCACCAAACCTAAACACATCCATCAGATTGTCAGACAGAGTAGTATGATTCGTCACTCCCGAGAACACGTCTCCACTGCTCTAGAGTCCAGTGGCAGCGTGCTTTACACCACTGCATCCGACACTTTGCATTGCACTAGGTGATGTAAGGCTTGGATGCAGCTGCTCGGCCATGGAAACCCATTCCATGAAGCTCTCTACACACTTTTGTTGTTAATCTGAACGCCACATGAAGTTTGGAGGTATTTAGCTATTGACTATGCAGACTGTTGGGGACTTCTGCATACTGTGCGCTTCAGTGCTTCAGTATGCACTGACCCCGCTCTGTCATTTTACGTGGCCTACCACTTCGGGTTGCTGTTGTTCCCAGTTGCTTCCACTTTGTTATAATACCACTAACAGTTGACCGTGGAATATTTAGTAGCAAGGGAATTTTATGGATGGACTTACTGCACAGGTGGCAACCTATCACGGTACCACACTTGCATTCACTCAGCTCGTGAGAGAGACCCATTCTTTCACAAATGTTTGTAGAAACAGTCTACATGCCTAGGTGCTTAATTTTATACACCTGTGGCCATGGAGGTGATTGGAACACCTGAATCCAATAATTTGGAGGGGTGTCCCAATAGTTTTGGCAATATAGTGTATGCATGTTTGAGAATACATGGCAAAAAACAGTATGTGGGTCGAACCACAAGAAAGTTAAAGGACCGCTTAAGGGAACATGTGAATAATATCAAAAAGGGCTATAAAGAACATTCCCTATCCAAGCACTACCGTCTCTGTCACAACAAGGACCCCTCCTCATTAAAGTTTGCAGGCATCGATATCATTAAAGCACACTGGAGAGGTATGAATAAGAAAAGAGCGGTTTCGCAACAAGAATCAAAATGGATATTTGAGCTTGATACCTTATACCCAAGAGGACTCAATGTCGAGTTCTACATCAAATGTTTCATTGACAATAGTTAAAATTATTTTAACTATTTCATATTTTGCTTCAATTTTTAGTATCAATATGCCCATAATTATCCTTTTACCCTGATAATTTTATACACAATTAATAATTAATTTTTAGATTTTTAGCTATTCTATTCTATTTCAGTTATTAATTTGTGTACCTTCGGATTTTGTTTATCTTCCACTTTGTTATAAAACCACTAACAGTTGACCGTTGAATATTTAGTAGCAAGGGAATTTTATGGATGGACTTACTGCACAGGTGGCAACCTATCACGGTACCACGCTTGCATTCACTCAGCTCCTGTGAGTGACCCATTCTTTCACAAATGTATGTAGAAGCAGTCTGCATGCCTAGGTGCTTATTTTTATACACCTGTGGCCATGGAGGTGATTGGAACAACTGAATACTATGATTTGGAGGGGTGTCCCAACAGTTTTGCCAATATAGTGTATGTATGTTTGAGAATACATGGCAATACACAGGTACCACTTGTTGTGGTTCACATGCAATAACACACATCATTATACATCTCTGTGCACGTGTGAGTCTTAAATCTACTAGATTTCTAATGGAATCTCCTACTTTTGCCAGCTGATTGTAAGCAGGATATTAACAATACTCCATGTTCATTTGTAATAAATGGAACTGGTTAGTATCATCCCAGAGTAATCATAGTGTATCAAAATTCATGAGAAAAAAAATGGGATTTTGAACATACCCTACCAGTAGCCAATTAACATCAAAACAGAAAAATACATAAAAACTAAACAATGTTATTTACAAACCATATAAAATCCAATATTAAAATAGTCATCATCAGAAAGACGTAACTAATATATACTAGACATGTCTGCTCTTGTCTACGTTTTTTGCGATTTGTTTTCGCTTCTTCAGGACATTAACTGGAGCTGTTCATGTCCAATACATAAGAAGATTCCTATCTGAAACAATTTGACAACATTCACATTAATCCATAATAATGTTGTCCAGATTCAGCTGCAGGAAGGGGGAGAGGGAGGGGAAAAAAAAGAGGGGGAGGGAAGAATGGGGAAACAAAAAGGAAAGAGGTTGAACAAAGAAAAGAAAAGGAAAAAAAAGGGGAACCACACTCAAACCACAAATTACCCACTTGACAAAAATACCAGGACCAAAAGAAATATACATAAATTCTCCACCCCCGCCCAACCTGTGGGAGGACACACAGAAAGAAGGGACAACAAAAGGTGGAGGAAAAATAAATTCTTTCCAAATCAGCCAATGTGACTGTCTGGATTTTTTTTCTCATTTTGTCTCTCATAGTTGAGGTCTACCTATGATGCCAATTACAGGCCTCTCTCATCTTTTTAAGTGGGAGAACTTGCACAATTGGTGGCTGACTAAATACTTTTTTGCCCCACTGTATATATATATATATATATATATATATATATATATATATATATATATATACACACACACATTATATTGCCAAAAGTATTGGGACGCCTGCCTTTACATGAACTTTAATGGCAGCCCAGTCTTAGTCCGTAGGGTTTAATATTGAGTTGTGCCATCCTTTGCAGCTATAACAGCTTCAATTCTTCTGGGAAGACTGTCCACAAAGTTTAGGAGTATGTTTATGAGAATGTTTGAACATTCTTCCAGAAGCACATTCAGGTCAGGTGAGGTCAGGCACTGATGTCGGATGAGAAGGCCTGGCTCTCAATCTCCGCTCTAATTCATCCCAAATGTGTTCTATCGGGTTGAGGTCAGATCTCTGTGCAGGGCAGTCAACTTCCTCCACCCCAAACTCACTCATCCATGTCTTTATGGACCTTGCTCTGTTCACTGGAACTAAGGGGCCAAGCCCAACCCTTGAAAAACAACCCCACACCATAACCCCCCTCCACCAAACTTTACACTTGGAACAACTCAGGCAAGTACCATTCTCCTGGCAACCGCAAAACCCAGACACGTCCATAGGATTGCCAGAGAAGCATAATTTGTCACTCCAGAGAACACTTCTCCATTGCTCTAGAGTCCAGTGGTGGTGTGTGCTTTACACCACTGCATCCGATGCTTTGCATTGTACTTAGTGATGTAAGGCTTGAATGCAGCTTCTCGGCCATGGAAACCCATTCCATGAAGCTCCCTATGCACTGTTGTTGTGCTAAACCGAAGGCCACATGAAGTTTGGAAGTCTTAAGTTATTGACTCTGCAGACAGTTGGCGTCTTCTGCGCACTGTGCGCTTCTGCATGCGCTGACCCCGCTCTGTCATTTTACATGGCCTACCACTTCGTGGCTGAGTTGCTGTTGTTCCCAGTTGCTTCCACTTTGTTATAATACCACTAACAGCTGACCGTGGAATATTTAGTAGCAAGGAAATTTCACAGATGGACTTATTGCACAGGTGGCAACCTATCAAGATACCACACTTGAATTCACTGAGCTCCTGAGAGAGACCCATTCTTTCACAAATGTTTGTAGAAGCAGTCTCCGTGCCTAGGTGCTTGATTTTAAACACCTGTGGCCATGGAGGGATTGGAACACCTGAATCCAATGATTTGGCAGGGTGTAAATATTTTTGGCATTTATAGTGTGTGTGTATATATTTAATATATATATACAGTTGTATCACAGTAATAGGTGCAGCGCTAGTAAATGGATATACTATATATACTGTATAATACAATATCAGCAAGTGCAAAATGAATATCACTTAATGGTGATTATTAGTGACTGAACAGTTCAAAGTGATAAAATCGTGTGGATCCTGAGGGATCACAATTTCAGGTGCACGGATGTCTTGGTCCAAAGGTGACAGGTGATGTGACTCAAATGAATGAAATACGCACTCACCAGAAGTGCGTTTTAAATACGCAGTATGAAATCCTGCATCAAGCAATGAGAAGGTCATCTGTTTCCAGGTCATATCACATCATAAATCACCATCCAGGTACATCAGCGTGTAGGATTCCCTGGTCCGTTAGCATGTATCACCCTCTGGGATCCTCTTTTGTTGTATGGGCACTGCGAATGAAGGCACTCACATGGAGAGCCCAATAAGAGACCACATAGCGTGATACTGTATAAAGCACCTTTATTCCGAATAATGGGTACAATCAATAAGATAAAAGGAAAGGTACTGACCATGTGTTCCAGATTGCCACCTGTGGTGGTCAGATGTCCAATTGCTGTAGCCCCCCTTAGGGTCTATGTGGTCTCTTATTGGGCTCTCCATGTGAGTGCCTTCATTCGCAGTGCCCATACAACAAAAGAGGATCCCAGAGGGTGATACATGCTAACGGACCAGGGAATCCTACACGCTGATGTACCTGGATGGTGATTTATGATGTGATATGACCTGGAAACAGATGACCTTCTCATTGCTTGATGCAGGATTTCATACTGCGTATTTAAAACGCACTTCTGGTGAGTGCGTATTTCATTCATTTGAGTCACATCACCTGTCACCTTTGGACCAAGACATCCGTGCACCTGAAATTGTGATCCCTCAGGATCCACACGATTTTATCACTTTGAACTGTTCAGTCACTAATAATCACCATTAAGTGATATTCATTTTGCACTTGCTGATATTGTATTATACAGTATATATAGTATATCCATTTACTAGCGCTGCACCTATTACTGTGATATATATTATATTGGAGGGTTCTTTTGGTTACCTTTTTTGGTGTTCCAGCAGCTTGATTTTTATTCTCTACAGCTAAAGGTGGCGCTCGCTTAGCAGCTTTTTACTATATATACAGTTGTGTTCAAAATAATAGCAGTAAAAAGTGAATAAAGCTCAAAATCCTTCTAATAGCTTTTATTTCCTTACACAGAATGCATTGGGAACACTACACATTCTATTCCAAATCAAAACATGAAGAAAAATATATCAAATTTGTGTTGTTCCTCTAAAACAATTGAAGAAAAGTGAATATTAGTCTGTTCAAAAAAATAGCAGTGTTTGTATTCCTCTTTACAAACTCAAACATTCACTATGTAAACTGAAGAATGTTTGAAGATGTTGCTTTCCTTTGAATCACTTAATTAATATTTTGTTGTATAAGCACTGTTTCTGAGAACTGCTGTACATCTGTGTTGCATGGAGTCAACCAACTTCTGGCACCTGTGAACAGGTATTCCAGCCCAGGATAAGTGGACTACATTCCACAGTTCTTCTCTATTTCTTGGTTTTGCCTCAGAAACTGCATTTTTTATGTCACTCCACAAGTTTTCTATTGGATTAAGATCCGGGGATTGGGCTGGCCACTCCATAAGGTCAATGAGCCAAATCCACCTCCCCCATAAATACCCCATATGTCCTAACAGGGATCCACCCTCTCCAGCCAATCCACCATAAACAGAGGGTAACTCCCCCCGCAGGGGGCAGGATGATAGAGGGAGGTCTCCTCCCCACATCATTGTAACCATATAGTTAAAAAATCCCATCGCATCATGTTCGAACCTGAAACAACGTCACGTCCGGATCACTATCAAACCAGGGACAAAGCAGGCTATTTCATTTAACCACCTGAAGACCAAGCATTTTCTGGCACTTTTTGTTTACAAGTTTAAATAGGTATTTTTTGTTAGGAACTTACTTATAACCCCCAAACATTATATATATATATATATATATATATATTTTTTTTTTTAAGAAAGACCCTAGAGAATGAAATGGCAATTGTTTAAATTTTTTATGTCACATGGTATTTGCACAGTGGTTTTTTAAATGCAATTATTTTGGAAAAAATATATTTTAATTAATTAAAAAAAACAAAACAATATACACCAATATGAAAGAGGAAGATATGATGTGTAAAAGGATACCTAACATGTCACACTTTAAAATTGCGCACACTCATGGAATGGCGACAAACTACAGTACTTAAAAATCTCCATAGGCGACACTTTAAAATATTTTACAGGTTACCTGTTTAGAATTACAGAGGAGGTGTAGTGCTCTCACTCTAATGTTCACAGCGATACCACACATGTGTGCCGTGAACACCGTTTACATATGTGTGCATGACTTACATATATGTTCACTTCTGCATGCAAGCACAGAGCGATGGGGCGCTTTAAATGTTTTTTTTTTCTTATTTTCTTACATTTTTTATTTTTACACTGTCCCTTTTTTGTGTATGTAAACATCCCTTGTAATAGAAATAAGAATAACAGGCCCTCTTTAAGGAGAGAAAGCAGTCCTTCAATAAATTGGCCCTCATCATTTGAACAATTACCCCTAATACGTAAGTATTGGACAACAGGTATACCTCATATAATATGTCTGGGGTGAGCACTCCGACTATGAAGCAACATATTTCCGGCAGTGGGTTTACAGCAAATATTCATTGTAATCATACCATCCACACTTTTGTTTATGGTGACATCCAGAAAAGGTAAGGAAGACTGGTGAAAATTAAAAGTAAAACTGAGATTGAAATCATTAATGTTAAGCTTTTCAACAAATTCATGCAAAAGTGACTGGGGGCCTGTCCAAAGGATCAAAATAGCATAATTTTACCTACGTCACAAAGTATTATGGCAAAGGAACAAAAGAAGAAAAGATCCCACCCCTTCAGGTAAAGGTTGGTGCTAGGGCACACAGGTTTTAGGTAGTGGGAGCCATAAAAACATTATGTGCCAATATAAATGACAGCAAGTCCAAGACAAACAGCTTTTATTTGAGCATTCAATACTTCTTTCTTCAAGGATAGATTTAACTACATCAATTCCCTTAGAGTGAGGTATATTTGAATAAAGCGCTTCAACATCGGCTGAAGCTTAGATGGTCTTTTCACCTACGAATACATCATCCAGGACCATTAAAAGGTGAATCATATCCTTTAAGTAGAAAGGAAGCTCCTCAACATGGGGGCATAAATAATCATCAACCAAAAAACTTGCCTTTTGTGTTAGACTCTGAATACTTGAGACTATTGGTCTACCCCGTGGTTGTTCAAGATTTTTATGTGTTTTGGGAAGGCCGTAAAAGGTTGATGTGATAGCAAATTTAACCTTCAGGTAGTCCCTAGTTTCTTTATTGATGAGCTGGTCCCCATAAGCTTGGACAACAAGGGGGGATTTTACGGTACCTGCAGGATTACCAAGGATTTTATTACACATATCTATATATTGTTTCCCATGACATGATTAACACATCTCACCCCCCTCCCTTGTCTGAGGGATAACTAGATAACTAGATTTTTTTTGTTTCAATAATAACTGTAACAAGCGTTGCTGGTACTGTATGTAGAGAGGTTCGAATTCGCTTGGTCAGTGGTAACCATTTCCTTTTCCCTTTCCCTAATCTCTAAATTGACAAATACTTCCGCTCTGGGTTTTTTTGGGAATTATTTCTGTATTCCTGAACATCAATTTAATGTATCAATCCCTCCTCATAAGCCTCATTCGGATCCTGCTCTTGGTCGTCCTCCAAGTTTAAACTACAAGGTAGGCTTTCATCTTCTAGTTCCTTTAGCATTTTGAGCATCCTATAATCAGTTTGGGTTAAATTCCGCAAATGTGATAGGATACCCTCCAAGGGCAATTCCTTCTGTTTAATCTTGGGCCCCTCAAGTGCACTTTTGAAATATAATTTATTGGCGAAGAGATTCCTATCTTTTACAAAGTCAAAACGGTCAATTCCAACTCGACTCCAACAAGATATTAATATGGAAAAGGAACACAGCAGGGTGCCAAGTCAGTGTGAGTAACAACAGTGTAATTTTATTCAAAGAGCACTTACATTTAAAACCTCCACGGTCAGCGTCCTGAGTCAGTACATTGTGCAGAGACAGCTCTCTCCAGGGTGGTGGAGGTGACAGTAGCTGCAGGACATAACGAGAGACCCACTGGAGGTCTAAAAAATCCAACAATATAATCCTCCATCAGTCTCACTCTAGATGTTTGCCCTTTTTTTCTGCCCCTGTTGTCCATTTAGACACCACTCTTACCCCTACATCGAATTCTCATAATGCTCTAGTAATGATTCCTCCCAAAATTGATCATTGTGCCAGTTCCGTTCACACTAGCATTCAGGAGGGACCACGTAACCCTATTCTGGATGAGTCCTATCCTGATCCCATTTTTTCTTACTGATAGACTCACTCAGGAAGTCACTCCTCTTAGTAATCTTGGTTCTTGCAAAGGACATTCCGTTAAGAACATCTCCATGGCCTCAGGTCCACCTATTTTCCATGATGGACCATCCACCTCAGGTTCATCTTTTTTAGTATCCACCCCACCCCGTCATACACAGGACAAGGTTGTAAAAAGAAAAATAAGAGAAGAGGCAGACGAGGTGGGAAGCAGAAGAAAAAACATCACATTATGCAGGATTTATATAGCGCCAACAGTTTGCTCAGCGCTTTACAATATAAATTCAACCTTTCCTCACATACACTTACATATGATGAGACTTTTAACTTTACCCCTACCAATCCAACCAATTCTTTTACTCTTTTTAGAGATTTAAAGAAATTCATTCACAAATTAACA